TCCCCGCGTTGGATCGCGTGCACGGCGTCGCCCACCGCGTGCGCACCCGCCGCACACGCAGTCGCCGCGCTCAGCACCGGCCCGCGCAGCCCGTGCCGCAGCGCTACCACCCCCGCCGCAGAGTTCACCAGCAGACGCGGCACCAGGAACGGCGACACCCGCCGGTACCGCCCCGCGTCCACCGCCGCCGCCGCAGACACCACGTCCGCCAGCGACCCCATCCCTACCCCGACCGACACTCCCGCACGCGTCGCGTCGTACCCCGCGCACTCCGGCGTGTCGCCCCCGTCCGGGAACAGCAGCCCGGCGTCCACGAGCGCTTCGCGCGCGGCAAGCAGCGCAAACGTCGCAAATGCTGGGCTCGGCGAGAGGAGAGGTGGCACAGGCGGGAGAGTGTCCCGCGCGATTTCGGCAGTCGCGTGCACTGGTATGTCCGCAGAGTGCTGAGACCGCTTCACGCCTGTCTGCCCGGACAGCACCGCGCGCCAGGTTGACGGCGTTGACAGGCCCAGGGGCGTTACCAGGCCGATCCCGGTCACTAGCACGCGCGTGGTCATGGGACGGGAAGAGGGAGGTACGGTTTGGGGAATGGGCGGCTTGCAAGACGAGGTGCTAGATAAAGAGACGAGCTCCTGAGCAAAAGGCTTCTTGAGGGGGATCAGTGTACAAAAGAAGAGCATTTCAAGTCAACGCGGACGTCGACAGGCCCCCTGAAAATTTGTAACTCCTCCGACTTGCCTCGTAGAAAAACCTCCTCAGATTACGGTATGATACGATTTGTTCAACCTTTCTTTTGCCCCTGAACACACGCGACGCGTCAACAAACACGCTCCGCCCCGCCCTCACGCCGCCTTCGCAATGCCCATGCACTCGCCCGTAAACACATTCGAGCCACGTACGAATGGTCGCCAAGCCCGTCCGCGGCCAACTATTAACCGCCGCATTCGCTCTTACGCGCTTCCACCAGCATCGTGACCAGACGACGTAGCCCGCTGCTTGGCCCCTGCTTCATCTTCTCCATCCCCCTCCACCGCGCTCTCCGCGCATCCGGGGCACTTCCCAGCGGCTTCAGCGCATGCGGCGCAGAGGGAGCGATACGCCGCCTTAATCCTCTTCTCCAGACAAACGTTGCACTTTTTCGGCACCGACAGCGGTTTATATTTGCGATACTTCATTCACCCACAAAATCTCCACAACGCGGTCAGCACTAGCGTCAAGGCACTCCGTAGCGCGCGCCGCACGCTCGCTCGTGACATCCACCTACCTTCTTGCGCCACTCGATCTTGTCCGCACACTTCTTGCACAGCCCGTCCGTCCCCACCAGCGCTATCCGCCGCGTCAGCCGCGAGTTCTTGTTGTGCTTGAACGCTCGCGTGTTCGGGTGCGCCGGTGCTCGGCTCTTCGGCTTACTCGACGTGCTCATGTTGCGTGGTTGACGCTGCGTTTCGGCGGGAGGGGCGGGATGCGGGTTTGGAGCGGCGTGGACTCTCGCAAAACGTGGTGGCGGCTCTTACCGAATCATGGGCAGGGAGCAAAGATTTCGAAAATGCCATGGAATTTGCAAACCATTTGCATGACGTTAGCGCTGGTGGGGGAGGTGCGCTTCTCACCAGGGAGCTGGGGAGACCACCGGCTTGTGATTAGTTAAACATGTCTCCATGGGGGGAAACACGCCCCAACGCTGCACCCCAGCGTCATCCAGTCCCCGCATTCAGCGCTTGTCCCCCGTTCTATTTGCAAAATGCCTTGAAAAGAGACACCGTCCCCCGTAAGCGCCGCGAAAGACGTAGTCCAGTGGCCGTCCTCCCGAGTGGCCGGCCGCCTGTCTTGACAGCGGTACAAAGCTTAGCCGCGGCAGTTGCGATCGCAGCTGCCACACTGCTTCCCGTCCCCCCAGCGTGCGGCCTCGGCGTGAAGAACGACCTGCTCACAGACTGTCAGTCTGGCGGCGTGAGCTGCGTTTCCTCGCAGGACGACACGCCGGCCTCGTTCCTGGAGCCGTGGGAGTACGACGAGGACGTCGCCCATCTGCAAGACCGACTCATCTCCGCCGTGCAGCTCGACTATCAAGCGTCTCTCGTGCTCCGCGAGCCTCGCTATCTGCGCTTCGAGATTCGGCAAGCAGCCGCAGCCGTAGATGACTTGGAGTTCTTCTTCCCGAGTCAGGACAACATCGTCCACTTCAGGAGCGCCCGACGAGGCTATGCGTTCGACTTTTGGCGAAATCGTAGGAGGATGGACGCCATTCGTAGCAAGGTTGGGCTTGTCCAGATTCCGGTCCTCAGGAGCCGCATGTCGTCTATGAAGATTTTCGAAACGCCTTTTGATGAGTTCGGGCCTAGTGCCGTTGATGTAGATGCCTTGATTGACAACGGTGGCTTGGGGAGTCGTCCGGTTCGATGAACTTATGTCAAAACCCTGTACTGGTTGTGCGACCCTGATGCGCAGGCAGGTACTGCGAAGCCGTTTTCGTTTGAATATCCTATTTTGCTTTTCCATGTATAAACATCTTCTGGCTCGGATTGTTAACAGAAAGCCCTCTTGTTGCCCAATGCAAGACGGTTTACAAAGTTTCTCACTGTTGACTTAAGGCACCCATATAGTGCACTATTGTGGTTTTTCTTCTTCTTGAGAAGCGACGGGCGTTCTTACTCGCATTTTTTGTAATGGCAAGAAAGCATACGCGTCAATGATGAAAGACGCCATCTTCATGAATATTACGGAATGGCAGGTGCGCACTACACGTCCTTACGAAAAAAACACACACCCGACCAAACAACCAACCGGGAAGGCTGTCTGTATGGGCACGAAGCTTCAGCATTACCGCCGCATTTGGCATATGATTCATGACTTGAAACGCTGACACGAAATCATAGACTTTTCGCTATCGGCCGTCACACTCTGGCTTTTTTTTTGTTGTTTCACTGCGCAATCTATCTTCTCTCTAGCATCCCTTTGAATGTGGCAGGAGAAAAGCATAGTGGTTCCTGAAAACTGGAACGTCGTCAGCTGTCTTTCCTAGGCTGAGCCCCCATTTCGTTCCAAGCCGCCGTCATCCCCCGTTGCCCTCCTCCAAAATGGCGGATTTTTTGGGCTCGTATTACGACAGCGTTGACTTTAACGGTTCTGATGTTGATGAGAGAATCATCAGCCAAAGGATGGCGATTCTCAGTGTGGAGCAGCCAGTGTCCATCATGGAAATGGACAACCTGGAGTCCGTAAGAAATCCGACACGTCGGCGTGACGTTTCTGCACTGAGACAGAACGTGGACCAGTTGGAGATTTCAAATGAGGGTGGTAGTTTGAAAGAAACATTTTCTGCGGACAATGGTTCTGAGGAAGACCTTGACATTCCGGTTGCATCGATGTCAATGTTCGAACAACAAAACTCGATGGTGAGTGTGCAGCTTCTCTCCAATAGAGGAGATGCCTACAGAGCACGGCAACTGTACAATGTCAACATTCTGGGGATTCCAAAAGCTGGAAATGAAAGGAAAGGGCAGGAGGGGATGCTTTCTCCCGTTTCTCACGCCGCTCAGACGCCACAATCAGGGATGAAGATTACGCGTGGGGCTCTTGGAAAGCAGAATCAGAGGAGTGAGAACATGTTCCCGCAGGAGGAAGATGCGCTTCAACAAGTAATTGACGAGGATGCGTCTCCAAGGGACAGGCGACGCAATTCGATTTTTAGATTTCTCAGTAGACGAAAGAAATGACGCGAAAGTCAGCAACTTCAGCACAGGGCGTTAGAAAAAGGAATTCTTCTCTTCGGTAACCTTTACGTATGTCCCTCGTCCTCTATGTTGGATTAACACAAATTCATAGGCAAGCCTCTTGAGCGATAGAAAACAACACTTGTTTTGCTGTGTATCATTTTGATGTTGGTAGACGCTGCATCAAAAATGTCCAAGTTCTTTTACGCGTTTTGGACCATCGTATGAAAGCATCGAGAGGATATCTATTAAAGCGGGCACAGATGTTTGGAAAATATTTTTTGCTAAGGAACGGAATCCTTTCTTTCTGTGCAAGAGTTCCTGGGACGAATGGGGGTCCTTCAATGTTGAAGAAAGAAGACAAAAAGGTTTGTTGATGCGATACAGATGAAGATAAGTATAGAGAATACAACCACTGAGACATTGCAGATGATCGACTAGTAAGGAGTAAATGGTAAGGAAATGGAGAAAGTTTTGTACATTTTTAGGAGGAAGTATATATTCGCGGGCGTTGTTTGAACAGCCACTTTATCTAAACAAGTAAAAACTATTTATGTTATCTTTATATAGAAGTAGGGGGGTTTACGTCGGGCAGAGGCAACAGCTTGCGCTTCATTCGGACCATACTCGCAGAAAGGTAAAAACGGGGCCCACATCACATGGCAATGTTTGAGCCCGGAAACGTGTCATACAGGCACATATGACAAGCAGTACACGTGTCTGCGTGAAGAAAAAGCATTTAATTTTGTAATGAGTGTAACCTTCTAGAAAAATATCTCCAGCCAACCATATCTTGACAGATTGATTGTCAAAGATCCATGAGATTTCAGATGGATGCGCCTTTCGTTCGATCCTATTTCCACTCCACACACTCAACATATCAACCCGTTTGGCGTCGCCGCTAACCGTCTCAGCCCTATCGAATACTTCATCGACCTTGAATCGGCCCTCCACCGACATCACCACCCCAGATCCACCCCCGCCGTACTGCACCCTGGTGTCCACCATGGATCCGGCCATGATCTCCGCCGCCAAGACCTTCATCACCCAGCTGAAAGCTTCCCCGGCACTCCTCCATGATCCGGAGCTTTCCTTTCTCAAAGACTATCTCGTCTCTCTGGGCGCCACGCTCCCCCCTGCTGAAACCGCTTCCAACTCTAAACCCGGAATGCGTACCATCTCCTCTCTTGCCGACCTGGACGCTCTCTCCGCCGAAGTTGGCTCCAAGCCTATCATCGCCGACTTCTACGCCGACTGGTGCGGTCCGTGCAAAGTAATCGCCCCCTTATTCAAGACACTTTCCGAAAAGCACACCAACGTTGTCTTCGCCAAAGTCAACGTTGACCTTGCCGAAGACGTCGCCCGCAAGTATGACGTGAGCTCCATGCCCACTTTCATCGTCCTCGTCAACGGAGAGCAAGTCGCCCAAACCATTGGTGCCGTGCCCGCCAAACTGGAAGCCATGGTCGAGAAGGCTGCCGGGGGCGTCACGGCCGATGAGGATGAGGGTGAAGCCACCCCCGTGCCCGACCCGGAGCCGCTGGACGACATGGAGGAAGAGGCCCGCAAGGACGAGGAAGCCGAACGCGACCTCATTCAGCATCTTGAGAATGACGCCGACGTGCTCCCCGAGGACCAGCGCGATGTCAACCCTGCTGAAGTTCCCATGGGTGCATTTGACGTCGAGCTGTCCGAAGCGGACATGGACAAGCAGATCGAGCTCAAGGGAAAGGCGTCTGGGCTTGTCGCGTCGGGTGATCTACAAGGAGCGATCGCCGTATGGAATGAGGTGATTGCAATCTCGGCGTCGCCGCTGACGCTCGCCAAGCGGGCCGACGTGTTTCTCAAGCTCAAGCAGCCGCATGCCGCGATCCGCGACTGCGACAAGGCGCTGTCGGCTAACCCCGACTCTGCGAAGAGCTTGAAGATTCGAGGGATGGCGTATCATTTGCTCGGGGACTGGGAGCAGGCGGCACATTCGCTACAAAAAGGGAACGGTTTGGATTATGATGAGACAGCGGGGGAGGTGCAGAGGGTGGTGGAGGAGAGGTGGAATAAGATTCGCGAGTTCAGACTGCAAAAGGAGGCCAGGGCTAGGGATCGCGACGTGAAGAAAAAGGCACAGGTTAAGGCGGCAGCGAGGGCGGCCGCTATCCGCGAGTATGAGGCACAGAAGAAGGCGGACGAGGAGGCCGCTTCAAGCGGTAGCCGAGGTATGCCTGGAGGTATGCCTGGTATGCCTGGAGGTATGCCTGGTATGCCTGGAGGTATGCCTGGTGGCATGCCTGGTGGTATGCCGGGTATGCCCGGTGGTATGCCGGGTATGCCTGATGGTATGCCGGGTATGCCCGGTGGTATGCCTGGAGGGATGCCTGGAGGGGCGCCTGGAGGGACTCCTGGGGGCGCGCCCGACGCCGAAAGCGTAGAAAAGATGCTGGACGGACTGGACCTACCTGCTGATGTCCAAGCCAAGATGGATGATCCCGCGGTGAAAGAGAAGCTCAAGACAGTGTTCACAGAGCTGCAGGGCAACCCGACAGCAGCAATGGGGACTGCGATGAAGTACATGGGCGACCCGGACGTCGGGCCGATCCTGGGGGCGGTGATGAAGTCGATGATGGGCGGCATGGGAGGGGGCATGGGAGGAATGCCGGGTGGTATGCCGGGTGGTATGCCAGGTGGGGCGGCGCCTGGTGCGGGGCCGGGAGAGTTTGGCACTGATGAGGTTGATTAATAAGCAAAGGGCAGTTCAGGTTGAGGAAGATTTTGGGCTTGTATCTATTAAATGCTTGCCAAGATCTGACGTTGGGTCGTTTACCGTAGAATTGGTAGAATAATCTTGCTGCGATTGCCTGCGCACAGCACAATAGTGTACCCGCTCTAGCTAGGTACAGCACTACAAAGCTCAGCTGCTGGATCTATGAATCGATGGAAGGTACGAGTTATTGTCGCGTTGATGATTTATTCCGTATACTGTACCAAGGGTACCTCAAAAAATCCCTCTCAAAACGGCCCAAACTGCCAATCAAGATAGACCAGGATCACGGGCTCATGTGCCGCCATCCGTGCCCATCCGTGCCTCCTTTTCCCCGACCCCACGATTGCAACATGGTGAACCCCAACCGATCCGCTCCTTACCTGGGATTCCTCCCCCTAAGCGCACTCCTCACCCTCCTGTTCTCCGTCCTTATCTATCTGACGTTCTACTACGAGCCGAATTATGTGTTCTCGCCTGAGGCCATGTCCGCGATCGGGAAACGCGCCATCCGCGACGGCGAGAGCTCCACGGGTCTTAACGCGACCGTAGCGTCCGTGGTGCGGCAACTCTCGGAGCGGTACCCCGGGCGGATCCTCCCCAACCCGCAATGGATGTTCAACAACGCCGGCGGCGCCATGGGCGCGATGCTGGTGCTGCACTGCTCGGTGATCGAGTACGTGATCGTGTTCGGCACGGCCGTCGGCACCGAGGGCCACACGTAAGTGCGCACCGCTTCAACCCCCCGCGCGCGCACCGTACCCCCTGACTCCGTGACTGACGCTGACGCTCCGGGCGACGCAGCGGGCGCTTCTTCGCAGATGACTACTTCACCATGCTGCACGGCGAGCAGTGGGCGTTCGTGCCCGGCGCGCTGCAGCGCGAGGTGTACCGCCCCGGCGACCAGCACTTCCTCCCTAGGGGCACCGCCAAGCAGTATCGCATGCCCGCCGAGGCGTGGGCTCTCGAGTACGCTCGCGGGAATATCGCGTCGATGATGCCGTTCGGGCTGGCGGATAGCCTGGTGAGTACGTTCGATTGGGTCACCGTGTGGCACACAGTGCGCGTGTCCGCGGCTGGCATGGCCACCGAGCTGGCGCGCGGATGGTTGTGGTGAATTGGAAAGGGGGGCGGGCTGTGCCTGGTACAGTAGTTGGGATTCGATAATTGGAATTCAGTACTTGGAATTCCGTAATTGGAATTCACGGAAGCACCTCAGCAGTGCTGATGTGCTGTATGACTCTTTTGGGGTGCGGGAATGCTGTGTCAGCAGGGTGTGATGGGTGATGTGCCGTTTGGCGTGTTCGCCGTTTTCAACCTTTACATCTGCATCTGCATGTCCCGCCATGCGGCTCGGGGAGGTACAACTACTTGACTTGTTTATATACTACAGTGTGCTATAGCTACCTTGACCATTCGCTTGCCACGTACACTGGCTTGACCCCACTTCTCCTCATCTCACCACGCCCTGCTGCGAGATGAGTACAACGATATTCTCCCCCTCCCCCCCCCAGCCCTGACTCCCCTCATAAAAACCAAAAACAGAGCAGTCATCCTCGCAAGCGCCCCGCGCGAAAAAAGAGGACGGCCCCTGCAGTCTCTCCGGAGCATCGCATCTGCGCGGCCGCGCGTGAGTATGCGTGTGTGCTTGCCTTCCCGTGCGTATCCGTGTGCGCGTGTCCCCAACGTATTCCTACGGGTTGCACGGCAGCAAGTCCGCCTCCGTGATGGTGCCGGCGTCCAGCTGCCGCCGAAGCTTCGTGCGCCGCCTCTCCGCAAAGTCGACGTAGCTCGCCTTCCCCTCCAGCGCCGCCATGCGCATGGGGTTGTCCGTCAGCCGCAGCGTGACCAGCTCCACGCACATCTGCAGGATCACGTTCGGAAAGTCTGCGAGCTTGTTGTGCTCCAGGTTGAGCGCGGTCAGCTGCGTCAGCGACATGTACGACTCTGGTACGCTTGTGATCTGGTTGTGGCTGAGGTCCAGGGCCATGAGCCATTCCATCGACGTGACCTGCAGCGGCGCGGTCGTGAACGCGTTGCGGCCCAAGCTGAGCGCGGTGAGCTGCAGCTCGGCGAACGACGGCGGGAGCTCCGACAGCTTGTTGTCGCTCAGGTCGACGTGCTCCAGCACGCGCATGCCCGTGAAGGCGTCCGGCAGGCTGGTGAGCTTGTTGGACGCCAGGTCCAGCTTCTTCAGCGCGGTCATGCGCACGATGTTCTGCGGGATCGACGACAGCAGGTTTCCGTTGGCGATCAGGCGCTGCACGAGCACGTAGTCGCACAGCCGCGTGTCCAGCTCGGTGATGCGGTTGAACGAGATGTTGAGGATGCGGGCCGTGCCGGGTAGGCTTTCGAACACCTCGTCGGGGACGCTTTCCAGCTGCATCTTTGACAGGTTGAGAATGCCCAGCTTCTTGGTGTTCTCGATCGCCCATGGCACGGTGTTCGGGACCAGTTCCGGGGTGTCGGTGCCCTTTTTCGACTTTCTCTTCTTCTTCGCCGCGCGCTCCGCCTTGCGCTCCGCCTTGGCTTGCTTCTTGGCATTCTCGGCCTCCTTGGCCGCGGTGTAAGCCTTGCTACGGTTACGGTTCGGGGCGGAAAAAAAGCTGTCCTGAATCCTCATCTCGTAGTGGCTCTGCCCCGTCTGATTGGTATCGTCCTCGTAGTCCTCCGGATTGAAGACCTTGATCACTTCGACGGTCTTCTTCCCTGGCAGCTCGCCCGACTGATTGGGTGTGAGGGTCGGTTGGTCTGCCAGGGCTTCCTTCGCGTCGGCAGCGTCGCTGGCTACGGCCTCGACGGGGTTGGGGACGATGGGATCATCGACCGAGGGCGTGGCAGGCTCCGGTTGCTCGTCGACGCTATCACTTTGGTCTGGTGGGGGGGGTGGGCCGGCCGCAGACGCCTTCCCCTTGGAGTTGCTAGAGCCCATGGGGGGCAACCGCGCGGACACAGGGCGGGGCCAGGGGGGCGGGGGGGGGGGGGGGCCACATTTGTTTGGGAGGGGGGTACACGGACGGACTGGGGAGGGAAGAGGAGTGTTTTCGTACGGGGGTACGTTGACGAGACGGCGAATATAGATGGGACGGGAGGAGGGAGGGGTGATGTGTAGAGTGGACTGGCGGGAAGCGAGGGGTGTGGGCGAGTGGAAATGGGAGGAGCCTGGGCGCCCCCGTCTGATGTAATCGCGCCCTGCCTCGGGGCGCCCTGCCTAGGGCGCCCTCCCTGTGGCCGTTGCGCTCTCGCCCTCAATGTCACTACCCTCTCCGCCACTCCCGCCGCGCCACCTGGAAAGCCCCTCTGTAATTCTCCTATCCAACCATACGCCCCCGTCGGCTGACACTTCCCCCCCG